GGTTTTGGATGCCACTCTGCCAATAAAATTCGGAGTTATGCATACTATAAGCACCTCGCAAATGAGTGAATGCGTAGGAAGGTATTTCATAAACAAACCTCAGGAATGCAATTAGCACCACCGAAAAAGTAGTGAGTTCACTCCAACACCATCAATGAGTTGAGCTGCTACTATTGGAGTGAGAGGTTTTTTGTGCCACAAAAAAACAGTAATTTATCGCATAGAATTGGTAAACAGAAACGTTGGGACTTTAAATCATGATGCCAATATTAACACCAACTTAAACCACTCGACTTGCTGTTCGAGATTCAGAGCCAACTAACCGACCCGTCTGTGACTGACATTTGAAATTACAAATTGGATGCTTGCTCATAAACTGTTGCTCATTAAAATGATTCTAAAGATTAACTCATGTGGTGAGCTCACTGTTGATAAATAAGTACGGGAGGCAAGAACACGAATTTAAAAGAGCAAAACAGAGAGCATCTTCAAATCCAAACACCCACATCAATTTTGTCCTAATGCAACAAAATTAAGAACCACTCAGGCAGAGACGATTAGATTCCGTGAACCCACTGGAAAGGAATGAACGGCACGAAATGAGCTACAACTAGGATAACAGAATTCACAAGGCAGAAAGTTGTGAAAGAAGGCAGAAGCATAATTTGGAGACTAGTAAAAGAAAAAAACATGAGCACCGAATAAGGGAAAACGGCCGCGTTAATAGGTCCTTTTCTCGATACAAGTAACTAGATAAGTGGACAGCAAAAGCGGCAGGAAGTGTAAATAGAACGCCTGAAAATTGACTCGCTCAAGATAATGAATATGTACCCGCCTGAATGTCCACGGTAAAAAACTCAATCTTCAAAACACAGAAGTCAGATGTCTTCGGAGGTAATATGAAAAAGGAAGGCGTAATAGGAGTGAAGAATCGAGAAAAAACATAAGCAAATTAAAGTTGAAAGGAGAGTATGATTCAAAACTTGCATTTGCAGGAAAGGTAAATTCCTATTTACAAACAGGGAGACAAGTAACTAAGGCTTGAAGGGTGGAGAGAACAGGAGCGCAGAGATGAAATCAAAAGATGGATAATGGAAGCCTTGTGACGACAGAGCTTAGAACAAACGGTCCAATGTATAGGGAAATAAATTAACATGTGAAGCCGAACAGCAACAATCCATAAGGTTCACCATTACCTGAGGAATAAAATCTTCTAACTCAGGAGGCAGAGCAACAGCGCATTTAGGTAGACTTCGGGGGAGCCAAGTGCCGCTACTAAGGATTTTGATGCTAACCAACACTGATACCACTTCGGTGCTTCCCAAAAGATTATTATTTGATGCCTTCTCCTGAAATTCGCGTGTCAGATCGTGAGATACTTTGATGTCCTGAAACATTCGCGCCAGCCGATTAACCAATTCTGCCGGCATTCCTACCTCCTAAAAAACAGTGGTAAATAATGAGGTGAAAACTCAGTCCATGCAAGCTAAACGTACTAATAAATAAACGCCAATTTTAACACTATCAGTCAAATCAATAACTAAGCCCATTTTAAACTAACTCAAGTTTTCAAACGAAAGAAGATCGAGGTCGTAATGATTTCTTCAACTCCAAAAATCCGGTGAAAATAGGGGCCTAGACCCTAAAGTATCGGCGATCCAAACAGAAGCGCGAATAAAATCACCCATTCTAAATCAGGAATTCGAAGAATATATTCAACTAGGTATTTTCAAAGGTAAAAGGTAGACTACAGAGCTGACAGGTGTTAGTCAACAGGGTCGGTCGACAACTTAATGCATTTAAAGGGCGCGTCCAAAAGCTAAAATGCACCGCTTTCTACCCATTCGGTTGATTACCTTAACCTCAAAATTCAAGTCAGTAGGGAATGAAATCCTTCAATTGCAGTAATGAAGGTTATTAATGAAGTAGCAATAAAGCTACTGTCAAAATACTTTACAAATGAGTCGTGCTTTAAGTGGCATCGACGGCTAAAAAAAAAAGCAAGATTAATGCGTTTCTTGAAATTAAAGTTGTCAACCTATCTAGAAAAAGGCCAGAGTGATTAACAGGTCAGAGTTAACCTGAGCTC